TAGAGGATTTTGAGATTGCTGAATCCTTTTTTAATTATCGAAGAGATATGATTTTTATATTTCAAGGAATCATCTAAAATTAATCCTAGATTTTTACTAAATTTTTTAAAGGGCAGTGGGCTGCCTTCGATTTGTATTCTGTTTACAGGATTGACCCTTTTTCTAGCATGGTTTCGACCAAATAGTAAAGCTACTGATTTAGAAGGATTTATTGTGAGGCAATATTTCAGGGACGTAACGGATAGGGAATTCAGATCCTCGTTTATTTGCGTGTAGGCTTCTTCTATGTTATTTTCAGTAAAAGAATGATACATTTGCGTATCATCTGCATAAAAATGTGACATCTTGAAGCACCCGAATTTTACGGAATAATCGTAATATTCGGCTCCGAAAACTCCCACACACAACTCGTGAATTGAATCGGATCATGATCACAAAAATCGTCCGCCATCTTGAATTTCCTAATATTGACGAAGGAATCATAATTTCCAATCCAGAAAACCCCCTGATTCCAATTTTGAATCGTATCAGATCATCATTACGAAACTCGTCCGCCATATTGAATCCGCCATCTTGATTTCGACAAAGAAATCATAATCTCCGACCCCGAAAACCACCAAAAACCAATTTTCAATAGAATCGGATCATGGTACAACACTCGTCCGCCATATTGGATCCGCGATCTTGAATTTCCTAATTTTGACGAAGGAATCATCATCTCCGACCCCAAAAATCCCCAGATACCAATTTTGAATAGAATCGAATCATAATGACAAAACTCGTCCGCCATATTGGATCCGCCATTTTCAATTTCCCAAATGAAAAAATAGTTATTTTACTATCGTGCGCAGAAGTCATATTTTCCGCACGCATATTAGTGCTGTCAGAGTCACTTCTCCGCAATAGTGATGAAAAAACTCTCTGTGTTCAATGAATCAATAATGGGATACTTTCTATGTTATCAATTTTATTTCCGTATCGGATATCACAATGACTTCATTGTGTTATTATTTCAAAAAAATCTCATTCATGGCAAGTCAAAGTTCAAATAATGACAGTTCTGTCAGATAGATGAGCATTACTTATGAAAAAATCAGATGGCCACAAACGAAGAAATCCAAAATTTTTCTCTGTTATCTGTTACAGCCGTAGAAAAATTATGATGTATAACTCACACGGAATGCTAATTTCCCACTCGAATGATTTCAGCATTCACCTAATGCTCATGCTGCAAACTTCATTCTCGTGGGAAATCACGATCATTCCGTGCTCGTTAAACAATATACTATTTTCTACGGCTATGACATAAAATTACTCTTGTTTAACTGTGTTCGATAAATCAATGAGGTATTTTGTATGTCATCAATTTTATTTCCGTATCGGATATCACAATGACTTCATTGTGTTATTATTTCAAAAAAATCTCATCTCCCACGGCAAGTCAAAGTGCGAGCAATGCTTGTTATGTCAGATAGATGAGCATTACTAATGAAAAAATCAGATGGCTTTACAAGCCGAAGAATGAAAAAATTTCGCTGTTTTCTGTTACAGCCGTAGTAAAAGTATTGTGTATAACTCGCACGGAATGCTATAATTTCCCACATGAATGATTGCAGCATTCGCCTAAGGCTCATACTGCAAACTTAATTCTTGTGGAAAATCATTATCATTCCGTGCTCGTTAAACAATATACTATTTTCCACGGCAATAACACAAGATTAATCTTGTCTCATTGTGTTCGATACATTTCTGAGGTACTTTGTATGTCATCAATTTTATTTCCGTATCTGATATCACAATGACTCCATTGTGATATTATTTCAAAAAAATCTCATCGCCCATGGAATGTAAAATCACAAGCAATGCGACAGCATTACTTGAGAGAAAATCAGATGACTACAAGACGAAGAAATCAAGAATGTCGCTGTTGCCTGTTACAGCCGTAGAAAAATTATAGTGTATAACTCGCACGGACTGCTGATTTCCCCCTCGAATGATTGAAGAATTCGAAGGCTCATGCTGCAAACTTCATTCTCGTGGGAAATGACGATATTCCGTGATCGTTGAACAATATACTGTACCCTTCAACTTTTACAACCAAGTTGTAATCGAAAGACGAAGAGCTCAATAAATAATATATTGCCTCCGATGTACTCGTACGAGATTATCATCATATGAAATTCGAAATGAAGGTAACATGTCAATTATATACCAACATGAGGAACACATTCTGAAAATATTGAGTTTGCCGCCGAAATAGACTAACAAAATGAAGCTCAAATTCATAACACAACACTGACTTAGTTGAGAGATCTCTGATGCGACGTTGCCAAATATAGTGGATCTCAGATTGTCGAGTAAATATCATATTCAAGGCTCACAGCGCAGCGCCCCCTTCAGAGCGCTAGATAGAACTACGAGTGTATAAAAATTGACAAAAATGGTCAAATGGAGATCCGGACTAAAATTTGTGTACCCCTTCTCCTGACCTAGGATAACGTAACTAAGATGATATACACATAGAAACAAGTCGAGATCCGTTTCGGATCTCGGATTGTCGAAACGGATCTGCACTTGTTCACCATATATCACCAAATGATCTCGTCTTGTATCGAAAACATATATATATATATATATATGACTGTACCCTGTTTTACATATTCCAATTGTCTTTTATTCTACTGTATTTCTTTTATTGTATTTAACTGTATGTCATTGTGATCTATTGTATTTCTTTATATATCATTTATTATATTGTAGTATTTTGATTGGATATCACTGTAATTTATTGTATTCCATCGGATCTTATGCATTTTATTGTGTTGTTTTTTTTTCTGTATCTACATCTTCACTTTATTTTTTTTCACCTTTATACTATTTATGTCTTATACATTTACATATGTACCTCTATAAAACTTTTTATATTCTATTTTTCCAAGTGCTTGCACTTATCTCTACATACCACTTTATTCACTTTGATCATTTATTTATTTATTTATTTATTTATTGAGAAAATACATCCAACAGGTCATAAGACCCAATTACAGGAGTACATAATACAAAATGAAAAGCTTATAGTAGTCCTGAAAAACAAAAATTAAAACATAAAAACGAAATCTATATTAGTAATATATACCATGTAACATTATAACATATAAGTATCAGTTTCAATCAGTTATGTAGTGCATTATATAATGCTTTCCTAAACTGAGATAAGGGTAAGAAAAATATATCGATATTTTGTAGACTATTGTAGCTTCTACACATAGAAGTTAAAGGACAGTGAAAGTGGTGTTGAGAGTTAGGTACGTCAATGTGAAATGTTATGTGTGACCTGGAAGTTATACGAGGAACATTAAAATTCAATGATGAAAGTAAAGTAGAAGAGTCGATTTGATTATGTATGATTTTGTACATTAAAATCAAGTCGCCATATTGTTGTAAGTATTAATTCATTCTGAATAAAATTATTATTATTATTATTATTATCATTATTATATAGCGTGAAATATGAGTATTGAAGAGGAATATTCTCAGATTTATTCATGAACACAAAAAAATTGACAAATATATAAAGAAATACATTGAGAATTCTCATTCTCCATGTGATGAAAACATTCATTCTTTCTCGGTTCATTCAACAGAAAACAAATACTTTCCTGGCTATTTGCCACGACGAACATCGAATTACATCTATTGAACATACACGATAAGAATTTAAAATCTTCTGAAGTAGAGAGTTTGCATTCTCTTTCATAAAAAGATATGCTCATAATATCATTCTGAATATTCAACAAAAAACAACTATTTTCCTGGCTATTTGCCACGTCGAACATTGAATTATATCTGTTGAATATCCGAGAAGACAGCACGAAAAATCAAAATCCTCTGAAATTGAGATTTGACATTATCTCCAAATCGAATAGAATAATATCATGTATCATGATATGAAATATAACTTACCAATATGTTCAGTATTGAAATGAAAATTGAAAAGTATAGTAGAAGTACACTTGTATGAACTCTGATCTTGATGAGCTTAGAACTTGAAAAAAATCATTCGTTTCAGTGATATGGGAATTATATCTCTCACAAACAGGTTATATGACTTCACTCGAGTAAAACTCATTTCGGATATCAAATCCTCATCAGTAACCTGAAGTCCAGTTATTCTTTCAGCTCAGCCATTCTTCATGATATACACAATGGGCGTGTACACCTTAGTAGAACTCTTAACTCAAACCATGTTTATAATGATCCTTTTATACATAAATAATGATTGACATAATTCGATCGAAAAATTAACTGGAATGTTTTATTTTTGGACATAAATAAAAGTACCTTCTGAAAACGGACCCTCTTATGACGTAGAAACCTGATCTCGCCATAGTTAAAAGAAAATACCAAACGCCCGACGGAGACTGAGGCAACTGATATATTAATTCTTTCAACTGTGATCTCGCGCTAATTGACTTCTTCAGAAATCATGTATCATTCATCTCTGTCTGGAATAGTCTTGTTCCAGTATTAGGGTTTTGACGTCACATCATCTCCTCGTTTTCAGAGGTCCGAAAAATCGTGGATTTCAATAATTTTTTATAAAACGTAGGGAGCTCACAGCAAGAAACGGTTTGCGGTGGTGAGCTAGTTTGGGTGAGTTCTAACGAATTATGAAATAAACATTTTTTGTGATATAAGCCCATTTTCATCTCCCTATAATATAACTAAAACTATAACGAACTGACATCTGAGAATTATAATTTGTTGACAAAACCACTGTCATCTGGGCATTTGTTTTTGATTGATATCCGAAATGAGTTGATTCGAATGAAGTCAACCTGTTTGTGAGTGATATAATTCCCATATCACTGATACGAATGATTTTTTCGGAAGTTCCAACCTCATCAAGATCAGAGTTTATACAATTTATTCTATCATGAAAAGTACTGTGATGATAAGAAGCACTATGTGTGGTCTTACATTCAATTAGTTTGACTCACCTTGGTCTTCTATTCCTTAATGGAAATCACTCTACTCTCAATGGGAATGTTACCCATTAGGTTTTCGATTGAAACCTGGAAAGATATAATATGTATGATTATTATGAAGAACCTACACATTGGAAAAATATTAACAAACATAAATACTAGGGTGATTGAAAAATAAACGGCATGAATTCAAAAGCATACATCGCACATGGTAATAGAAAAAAGTTTCCTTGAAAAGGGAAGAAGGAGATTACCATCATCATTTGATGGGTTGATGCGTGATATTTCTGAAGAATCTTCATGTCCTCAAATTATACATGGTGGCTGTAAATGCTTTTTCAATTCGGAACTTCTTGAAGTGACTTTTCTCGAGTTTTTCAAATGGAACACCCCATATATTTTTTGGCTATGTGATATGAAATCGAAATACGAACATATTTCGTATCAACATCCATATTGATATTCGTAACCATTTTGTAATTATCGAACTTGGAAAATCATAAAGCTGGCCAATTTAATTATTATACGTTGTGATTTGTTACAGAAACATCAAGAGTTTATTCTGTAATTCAATAACCTCATATTTTTTAATTGTGTGAATCAAGATTACATACTTTTTGAGGAAAGAATGAAATAAAGTGTCTGAAAGGAAAAGGGCCTGCCAACTTTCAGAAGATTTGATCAGTTATTTTTAGTCACAATATCAGAATATCTTTTTTCTTTACCTAACTTACAGTGGCTGTAGCTTGGAGGGGGAGAATTTTAGGACACATGTTTATATAGAGAAAAAGTCTTATTTTGGTACATAAATAACTATTCCTTCACATCTTCAATCATGTATCTCCATGGAAATCTGTAGATCTAGCAGGCCATTCAGTGGCTCTGTTTCTACCAATTTGTTTTTAGCATTGAGTATTCACATGTAAATAATCAAGGGTTTTCAGGAAGATTTTTAAGAATTGCGACAGATAGTTTTTCTTCGATTATTGGGATCCCCTTTCGTGCACAACAAGCTATGAAAAACCAGTTCTTGTCAAGGTATCTTTGAGGAAATTTGGCTTTATCACGTGGTCTCCATCAATGGATTCTCCTCAAACATTGAAAAAAAAACAGCCTATTATTCTCGAAGTTCAATATTTCGAAAATGATGGTCACGAATATCAATATGGATTTCGAGACAGAAGAAGTTCGTGTTTCAATTTTGTATCACATGGCAAGAAGATTTATGGGGCGTTTCATTTGGAAAACTCGAAAAAAATCTTTTAAAAGACATCTTCAGAAATATCACGAATCTTTGCTCATCAAATAATTATATGGCCATCTCCTCTTAAATTCCATAATTGCGACGCCAGTGATATTTTTGGCATGCACCTGCAAATGAAATAATATTTCGACAAAAATAGTCATAACTTTGATATGATCGAGACAAAGTCAAAAGACGTGGATAGAGTTCACATCAGGGATTCATTATTCCAGATTTTTTTGGGATTTTCCCTCCTCGTTTCTATAAAATAAAAATATGAATATTATTTCAATATACATGCAGTAAGGACAAATCAGATGATTCGCCCCAAAATATCCTTGCATTCTTCTGAACGGAGACGATAGCATTTGCTTCCTGTTCAGTTGATATAGAGAGAACATGGAATTCACTACTGAAATCTGAAGATGAAAATGGTAAATTCAAGATTAATTAATAAAAACACCCTGTAAGTCATTTGATTGCCAACGTCACCAATTGTCACTGAGAAATGAGAAGTGTAAAGACGAATACGAATATGCTATACAAATATTCATTCTTCAAACGTCCAAAGCTAAGTGACAATTTGTTATTTTTTCTATTATTTCTCTTCCCCAAACCTTTTCAACACAAATAATTGCTCTCTGATTGAAACATTCTTTCAACGTACTGACATTTTGAGAAAAATCATCTGATTTGTCCTTACTAGACGTATATTGAAATAATATTCATATTTTCATTTTATAGGAACGAGGAGAGAAAATCCCAAAAAATCTGGGATAATGAATGTTCCACCTCCTCGATTAACCTGCAGACAGTATTCACAGGGATGCTTAAAAAAATGTGCTTATGTGCATGGCATTCCATTTAAGAAAAGTGCCTTCGGCTCTATAGATTATTTTCTGTGCGCCCTGTATATGCGGCAATAATTTCTAGTTATGGACCTTGTTGTCCCATTCACATTCGTTCTTGAATCATGTTTTTATAGCTATCATTGAACTCGAGCAATCGATCTCTGAAAGTTTTATCTCAAAATCACCCCAATTGCACTTCCTAGGACGTCCCTATTTGGTACAATTCAAGACCAAATGCTCCAGACCTAAAATCCTTATCCTTGAGACGTCCCTTCCTGTACATCTCATGCAATGTTCGAGCAAGGACGTCCATGGAATGTCCCAGCAGGAACATCATTTCAAATGTCCTAGAAATAGCACCCTTCAGACGAACACGTGGTACATATTGTGCACTGTCCATGCCGGTCCATGCATGGACGTCCGGATCATATCCCTAATGGAATATAATTTCAAACATTGCTTTAGGGACATCCATCGGATGTCCCAAGTAGTACATATTCTGGCATGACTTCAGATCTTATATAATGTCAATGTTCCTACTAGAACAACCTTGAAATGTCTCAGACGGTACATTTCTTGATATTTCTCTGCACGGACTCCCTTAATATTTCCAGAATCATATAACATTCTAAATGTCCCAATTGGTACATGAACTGTTATGACTTCGGAAGGAACTTCTATAGATAATTCATATGTACACCTAAGTAATCAGTAAAAGAATACTCTTCAGGGAATGTAATTTCATAAGATATAATAACAACACCGTCTGATGGACCCTAGGACGTCCGTAGGATGATACGATTCAAAATGGACACATCCATCGGTGGTATATATTGACATCAGGTCATCAAATAGACATCCTATATAAATGTCCCGCACGCAAGCGAATGATCATTTTTTCTTACAATGTCTTGGAAGTAACGTCCTACGGACGTCCGAGTCGGTACGTTCAATGTGTTAACTCGCACCTCGGCGCCGCTCGACTGCTCATAGGCTATATACAGGGTGATTCAAGGTAGATGGCACATTAGACGTTGCCGCTTATATTGAAAAGTAACAACAACTTTGATTTTGTAAATAGGACACTCGCTGTATATTATTTCATTTTCAGATTAATCCTGAAGAGCTGGTTTTATTGACTTATAACACTTGGGGTCTAGCAATAATAATTACAGAGTTATAGAATGTGAAAAATCGAGATTTTTCAACGTTAGGATTTTTTTGTGGTCAAAACGGTTTTCATGTCCCTATCCCAACATTTTATTTACTATCAATTGATATTTAATTGATATAGATACAAGGTGGTTCAGTTCATTAAAATTTTTTACCACCCTGTATCTATTTCAATTAAATAACAATTGATAGTACGTGAATAGTTAGGATAGGAGGATATGAGAACCATTTCGACCAATTATGAATAGTTTCGACACAAAAAATTCTTAAAGTTGGAAAATCTAGATTTTTCACACCCTATATCTTTGTTATCATTCCCGCTAGACCCCAAGTGTGTTAATTCGATGAAATCAGCTCTTCAGGAAGAATCTGGAACACCGTAGAAAAGTTGGCGATCTGATTCTATTTTATAGATATTCTCATGGACGATGCTCTTCTGAAATATCAACAATTGTTCCTCCCTTGGCAGTCCCCGCGAGATTAACCCGTCGAGTTGAGGCTTCGCACCCCTTCGTGGTCACTTTGGAGACCTGCAGAACATCTCTTTCCAAAGACTCGTTCATCCAACGAACAGCGAGGCTCTGGAACACATTGCCAAGGTAGGTGTTTCCCGAGGCATATAACCTCCAGAAATTCATGAAGAACGCCAATTCCTACCTTATTTCCCTTGGTTCTCACGATGTTCTCTGAACATTACAGGATATCTTTTTTCGTGGGAACCAGAACATAAAAAAGGGTGTTTCATTGAAAAAATAAAATTTGTTCCTACTTGTCACTGTAAGTGGCAATGTCGCAACGCTGAGAATATTTCAGGTCGATAAAACATAACTAATTATCCAAGGCACCAACTTTTCAGAATAATCCTGAGTTTCGTTCTCCATAAAATAAACGTCTAATGAGCCATCCACCGTGAATCAGCCTGTATATCATGAGCCACAACCCCCCGAGCCAATGCCTACAGGTCAAGAATCACCTTCTATGTTTCTTAATGTAAAAAATGGACTCTTCTATCAAATTCCGGATGATTTCCTTTTATTCTATCGACGATTGAAGCATGCTACCACTTAATTTTCACCTATGAAAATTCAAGTTTATCTGCTTTTGTGCATTCGTAAAATGTGATTGCAATTCTCGAACTCATTTTTTGTTGCTGAATGAATAAATTAACACACATTAATTCAACAAGCATTCATCGATATATTATTCATGTAGCTCACGTATATGATGGTATATTTCCTAACTTCAAGAACTTACTTAACGAATGACATGACTCACCAGACTTCATTGAATTACAGGGTGAATTTGTTTAAATTGGGACATGCCCATACATACTTCTTCCAGATAGCAGGACATTCATTTTGGCAGCAATTTAATCGTCAAAAATCTTGTTCAAAGGTATTTTTCTGCAGTTTCTACGATTCCTATTAAAATACATCAATTCAAATAAAAATAAATGATAATTTGACATAAAAAAGGTTCTGTGAGAAAAACATAAAGTACATATAATTGCAAGTTACACATTGGAGTATGTTCCATACGCATACTAATGCAAGAAATGACTATTCAATGAACTGAAAATGAGTATTATTAATTATTTTTTTGGAAATTCCGAAATATCCCATTTCAGTCATCCAAATCAAAGAATATAGAACCATCAAAGCTTGGAATTTGAGTTGAGAAGTCGTATAGAAGAAAATTCATCATTGTGAATTTTTTCGGTCATCAAAATGAAAAATTACACTTCTTTCGGAAATGGTTAGTTTTATGGCATGTCAACATGAATACCTTTTTGATTTCAATGTTCAAAGAAGCATATTCTG